CCTAAATTTAATGACTATCAGCCAGCAATACCTGATATTTTACGTATAGTTGTACAGAAAACGCTTAGAAGCTGACAAAGCGTAAAATATTTGTTTTTGCTTTCACTTGACTCCAAAAATCAGTTATACTTCAAACAAAATCAGCCGCAATAATGCTATCTCAGTGGAAATTTCTCTTTTTTTGCGGAGAAGCAAAATTGTCTGTAGTCATATTGAAAATCTTAGAGAAGAAAAACATGTGGCAAATATATACAATTGGGTAATAATAATCAGTACGATATATATCAAAGTAACTCCATTACCCTTTTTCTTTAAAAAGAAAACTTCCAAAGACATTTTTTATCGTACACTTGTTATTGTACATTTTAATGTTTTTTACATAATTTGTTTATGTGTTCATATTAAAAGACTTAGTGCTAATTTCATAATTGCCTTCCATTTTATTTCAGGACATTCTCACTCGCTCGTTACAGTTCTTGCTCTTTTATATCATATTGTGGAACCATACTGATTACAACGGGCAAAAATGGACGTTAAGGACTTGGATACACCGTTACATGGATTAATGCAATATCTAGAGGCTGACGAATATGCAAGGCTAACAGACGAGTTTACCGACTTCGTGAAGGAGGATTTTAATGAAAGAGTTCAAGAGGTCCAGATTCATACCAAAGAAAAACGTTCATTTCTATTCATCAAATCCTTTATCGATAAAGTGAGAAGAAAACAGTACAAAGCTGCGCATGAGCATTTGGGAGCTGCGCGCCAACAATATCAGAAATTTATGCTGCAATACGAGTCTTTGCCACACAGGAAAAAGCAACCAGCAGTTGAGTCAAATCCTCAGACAGAAGTGAACGAGGTAGGCTGTTCCATTATTTTATTTCTTTCTCTCTTTCACACTTGGACTGCATATCTTCATAAGATGAACATGAAAACACATCTGTCTAACGAGATTTATAAATTGTCCGTCTAACCGATGCGTATACTGTCATTAAATTATTGACAGTGTGTATATGAAGGAACCAGTAGATCTACAAACAATGAATGCCCGCAGTATTCTGGTTTTTTGTTTTACAGGCAATGACGTGGTAATATTCAAATACAGAATAATTGGACAGTTTAACGGAGACTGGAAAGAGAACTTCAGTTTGAGTTGCAGCAATAGCATGCCTCTGCCAGTATCGCAATCAGCTCCTGAAGAAATACTAATAAATCACTTGAAACACGAGGGTACCAAAGATTTCACTTGATACAGTTAATGAGACACAGATGATGGTGGTCAAAACGTGAAATGCATAGCTAAATCTTTGCATGTTTAACCAGACTATCTCGTAACCATGAGAAGTTCTGTGCAAACAGAGGCTAGTAACCGATAGTTGCTGCTATTTCTTGATTCGTTCTTTTATTTAGCATCACACCATCTATTCAGTTCATTTCAAAGGCACTGTTTGTAAATGATTGAGAAATGCAGAAATGTAAACATGCAAACACACACACACGACGAATACATACATACATACATACATACATACATACATACATACATACATACATACATACATACATACATACATACATACATACATACATACATACATACATACATACATACATACATACATACATACATACATATGGTTTTTAGAGTCGTTAGAATGTATTCGTGCAGATGTATGCATTGAGTGCCACTTTCAATGAGATAGTATCACACCATGGCAATTTTCAAGATTTCATTTGCATGAGAGAAAACTTGCCTGCTATTTCTTGTGGTTGGTCAAAACAGTACAGGATAATTATAAGATTGTGCACGGACGTAATAAAAGCTTTTATCAATAATATTAACTAATCTTGTGAACCACTGAGCAACTGTACTACGTGCTTGGAATGCATCGTTTTGAATGTTACGGTCATCAGTATAAACCTTTTACCAGACTCTCGTATGTCGAAGATCTCACGTTAATGCAAGATACCTGGTTAACCGAAACTATCAATGTTTTTTCTTTATTCAGCCACAATCTGCTGTTATTCCAAATGAAACGACAAATTCCGGCAATCGGGCATTGCCGTTTGCAAAATCTCCCCCGCCTGCGTATACCCCACATCTTCAAAAACATATAAAATCTCCGGTCCGTCCTGAATCCATCCCCCGTTCTGATATTGCTGAAAGACAAGAGCCGCCCATAGAGAGGATAACTCCACAGCTACGGCAAGATATAAAGCATACAGACAGACCTGCCATCTTTAGAAAGGAAGAGGCGAGTCCCGAACTGACTGAAAAGGAACGAAAAAGGCAGAAGGAACCATTTTTTCCGGTTCAAAGTCGTGATGAATATAAGCCTGTTACTCCATGGAAGCATGTTCGAGAGTTCAAACCCAATGTTTTCTCATATGAGTACGTAGACGTGAAATAAAGTAATATACGTGCCAGAGTTTTAAGAATTTATCAAAATAATAATTCCTGCACAGATTTAACCAAAATAGGACGATATGCGTAAACACGAAATACTACAAGAGTGAGTATTTAAATCTCCCCTTTGCAATTTAATTTTTATCCATCGAATAACACGATTTCAAGTCATTTTAATTTGAATCCATCCAAAAAGACAATTTAAAGTCTCATCATAATAAGAATCAAACCAGAATATTGATATTTCTATCCAAACCTATGTCACCTGCAGTGAGACAATAATTTATATTGAACATGTATATCCTTAGACGAAACAACACACACATCTGTAGTTAAGGTTTAAGTGTTGCTTGCAATTTTACGAAAATCATCCACCATCCAATGAATTCTCATATTTAAATAAGGATTATAATGTAAATGATTCCACGCACACTCACACACATGCGCATGCATACACACACGGCGTAAGTTTGATATATGGTGCAACACTCACACATTTGTCTTCAGTTAATTTAACTCATGAGGGTCTTTTCTTTTATTATCTTGGTTGTATTCAAAAGTTAAGTTATTATTATTATTATTATTATTATTATTATTATTATTATTATTATTATTATTATTATTATTATTATTATTATTATTATTATTATTATTATTATTAAGTCAGGATGGGGTTCTGCCCTGGCTACCAGCCCCTGAAGATGTTCGACCGAACTTTGTCAGTAGAGTGGGTGACTATGACAGGAAAAAAGGCACACGAATTCGATATGGTCCAAGTATCAACGACAGTCAATATAGTCCGAATATTCGCGACAGACACTTGTATACAAATGTGTACGATACATATACGTAAGTTGTGTCCTAACTTTCTTCGTATGGATCTCAGTTGATCCCTCTGCAAAAATGTGCGTAAAAATAAAAAGAGAAATAGTCGTCTGTAGATAATCAGGTAAATGCTGTTAATCTGTAGATAAAGAGATATGTGATGTATGTAACGAGATAAATGGTTATATAAAATTAACACTTTTTGGGATGTACATTTTGATTTATATCATTAATCCAATGTCAATACTATTTGGTTTATTTGACGAATATCCATCATGAGTTTTATAATGAATTAAGTTATGAATCATTTACATATTTCTTTTCTTAAAGAGCCATTTGGCGTAGCAGGACATCTACTTTATATTTTCAGAGCAGGATCGAGAGATCTACCGACCAAAATAGAAAGGAGGTGAATCTCTCTCTCTCTCTCTCTCTCTCTCTCTCTCTCTCTCTCTCTCTCTCTCTCTCTCTCTCTCTCTCTCTCTCTCTCTCTCTCTCTCTCTCTCTCTCTCTGTCTCTCTCTCTCTCTCACGTTTGTTACAAGGATGGTTTATGCTAAGAAAGATAGGTTTGATTATGAACAAATTACTGAATTTTTAGTATTACGGTATGTCCGTTGCCTTACTGTGGGAAATGAATTAGTAATGTGTGTCCTATATCATTATTGTAAAGATAGTAAGCGAAAATATCTTCACAGTCTCAAGTTGACTTTCTGCGGCAAAATTATAATGTTTATGTTGATTCAGATCGCAATTAATTCGCCATAATTTTATTATATATCATTTACATTTGTTTCTCAATATTTAATTCTCCATTGACCTTCCATTGAGTCCAAATGATAATAAATCAGATCTTATTTCAAAGTACTTTCAACGATGAAATACACCGTGAGGTTCATGGCATGAATTATGAAGCATATTTTTCAGAGGCTGGATTACAAACAAAGTACCGTGCATTGAGTCACAGAATTCACCACTGGAAAATGATAAATACTTCATTACTCACTGGGTTCTGTCCTCGAAATACACAAATTCAATCACACCATTATGCACAAATTCTAAAGAATAAATTATTGCCTTTAAATCAGCAACAAAAATGCCTAAATCCAACTCTCGTTTCACAATCAAAAGGAGAAAGAGGAAAAATATGCTCTCAAAATAGACTGGGACTCTATTCGTTTGTACTGAACCGGAAGTAAAAATTATGACCCGATTCAGTCTGAAACGTAAAGCACTTTATATTTATTTGTGCTTGATTTTCTTGTTATAATTATGAAAGGCATAAAGTGCCTGACTTTCTTGCTACAGGTATAACTTGTGTTGATTCACACAATCAAGCGCTGCGTAGCATATGGGAAATCTTATATTACATTTGGAAACATAAGAACATATTTTTCACATGTCTATATATTTATAATTATTAGTATAACCGTTTGGTTGAGAGTAAATAGTTAGGTTGAGAGTATCTGCCTTATTGTAGTCCCATAATTCATCTTTGTTTAGCAGACAATAGTCATATTTCAAGCATTGCTCAAAACAAATAAGCAGGTGATTGATCTTAAAACAAATTGATTATTTTGTTTGTTTCTTTCTGCATTTTGTTTCATATGCAAATTTAAGAACCTAAGAAATTTTATGGGCATATGTTTTATCCTATTCATTAATGTGCCCTACCCAAAAACTTTAAATATTTATTAACGTCTTCGTAATCTCTGAATATATACTAACGTATAATTGGTAAAATCATTGAAACAGGTGTTTTGACCGCTTCGGTGGCCTGGTGGTTAGGGCGTTCGCCCCAAATGCAGGAGGTCGTGGATTTGATTTACCATCCGAGTCATACCAAAAGCTTACATAAATGGTGCTAACAACTGCCACGCTTGGTGCTCAGAATTAAGAGGTCAGTGTTAAGACTTATCGGTCTGGTGTCAGGATAATGCGACTGGTGGAACATCATGCAACATGTCTGCGGCATGATGCCCCATTACTAGACATCACTATAAACTGCCACAATGCAGACATCGTAGCGATATGACTGAAAATTGTTAAAGCTACGTGAAAAATACAAATCACAACAACAACGAAAAAGGTGTTGTGTTACCTGATCACGTACATTATGACCAACTGTCGGGTTAATACTAAAAGCATCATGAATCTCGTATATTGCAATTAGATTACAGCACAGGACCATAATTTGAGTATATAAAACAATCACAGGTTACGTGTAATGATTGCCAATTTGTTTAATGGGACGGACACAACAAATTTGAAAGGACCTGCAAAGGGGTGGGGAGAAGGCAAGCATTTATTCTGACCTCCGTAGGATCGCTGTTCTTGCTGTAGATCGCCATAGAAGTGTCTCTTAGGCAGCTGGTAGTCTGGCATGAGTATAACATGTTCCGCCCAGCGTAGCCTGGGTCTGCATCAGGATGGTGTGGATGCTGGAGTGACCTGTTTGGACGACTACCTCGGTGTTTAAGACCTTGTCCTGCCACTTGATGTCGATGATTTTTCTGAGACTTGTGGTGTGAAAGTGGTTCAGCTTTCTGGCATGGCGTTGATACGCCGTCTACGTTACGTTTCGCATTCATAAATTAGTGTGGATAGCACAACTGCTTTGTAGACCTTTAGTTTGGCAGTGATGCTGATGCCTCTACTATTCCAGACATTGGCATACAGTCTACCAAAGGTTGCGCTGACTCTGGCAATGCGGAGGTTCACCTCGTCGTCAATGGTGATGCTCTGTGATACTGTGCTGCCAAGGTAGGTGAAGAGGTTCACTACGTTGAGTTTTTGACTGTTGATGGTGATGTTCGGCTAAACATAGGGCTTTTTGGTGGCTGGCTGATGTAGTACTTCAGTCTTCTTAGTACTGATGGTGAGACCAACGCTTGTGCAGGAACTGGAGAACTTGTCAACGCTGCGTTGCAGGTATGCTTCTGAGAGCCAGCATCGAGGATGCAGTCATCAGCAAATAAGAACTCCTTGAGGGTGTCTGTCATAAACTTGGTTTTCGTTTGAAGCCTCTTGGGGTTGAACAGTTTTCTATCTGTATGGTACCTGATTCCGACTCCAACATCTTCGTCTCTGAAAGCATTAGTCAGCATGATATGTTTATGGTTACATAAAATTATCCTTGACATGGTGCTGCGAAGAATGCATATTTAGAAAGGTGAAGGTTTAACATATGGAATCCCATGATCTAAATTTTTGTAGTAAACTGATCTTTTCCTAATGAAAGTTATGAACCAACGAAATCCTATTGTCAGATTCTACAATCATATGTATGAGACAGGTGCATAATTATGTGTCTGAGGAAAGATTACGGTAACATTATTGCGACAGAGGCGTACACTCATATGCATGAGACTGAGTAGTACACTCATATGTATAAGACAGAGGAGTACAATCATATGTAATGGACAGAGTAGTACACTAATATGTATGGGAAAGAGGAGTACACTCATATGTATGAGACAGAGGAGTACAATCATATGTATGGGACGGAGTAGTACACTCATATGAATGAGACAGATGAGTACAATCATATGTATGGGACGGAGTAGTACATTCATATGTATGGGACAGAGGACTACAATCATATGTATGGGACAGAGGAGTACACTCATATGTATGAGACAGAGGAGTACAATCATATGTATGGGACAGAGGAGTACAATCATATGTATGAGACAGAGGAGTACAATCATATGTATGAGACAGAGGAGTACAATCATATGTATGAGACAGAGGAGTACAATCATATGTATGGGACAGAGGAGCACAATCATATGTATGGGACAGATGATTACAATCATATGTATGAGACAGAGGAGTACAATCATATGTATGGGACAGAGGAGTACAATCATATGTATGAGACAGAGGAGTACAATCATATGTATGGGACAGAGGAGTACAATCATATGTATGAGACAGGAGTACAATCATATGTATGGGACAGAGTAGTACATTCATATGTATGGGACAGAGTAGTACATTCATATGTATGAGACAGAGGAATACAAATCTATGTATGGGACAGAAGAGTACAATCATATGTATGGGACAGAGGAGTACACACATATGTATGAGACAGAGGAGTACAGTTTTTGTATGATATAGTGGCATACCAGCTTACGTATTAGACAAATATTTACAATCATGTGAATGGGAAAAAGGGATGTACAATCATATGTATGAGAGATGTGCAATCATGTGTATGCTTCATACATATAATTGTACAATTTACAATCATACCATGAGACAAAAGTACAATATACAATCATATGTATGAGACAGAAGTAGTGTACAGTTTTAAGCATGAGGAGCTGCAGTTCTGTAAAGTTCTGTAATTAGTCAATTGTTAATTTCATTCTTCCAGATTTACCCATCCTATCAATGAAAGTATCGCCATTCTGAAACATTTCTTAAAAATCCCCAAAATTTCGTCTCATCTAACTGTTAAAACCACATTGTTCAGTGCATTTTTCATCTTTCCTTCAGACTAAGCCCTGAGATTAGCATAATACGGACGGACAGCCAACTTCAGTTGGAGAATTTATATAACTCGCAACGCCCTTCGAAACTGGCAGAACGGTTCTTAGACCTTTATTTCGGGGAATATACACATGCATTTAAGGAGCTAACGACACGTGGCATGCAGGAGAGAGATATAGTATTCTATTTGTTGCAGATTGTCACGGTACATTGCTACTTTCGATGAGAAAGAGATTATGCTTTCAATATTTGCCTAAATATATTTGATCAAGACGCAAAACCTACTTAACATAAATGTGAAACTTTTTATAACACAAAAGAAGGAAAGTCTTAATTGGATAAATGAGTACACACATTATAATTGGTTAGTGATTATGAAACTTTTTCAAAGTAGATATTCAGAGGCCTTGAAAATTTTATTGCCTAGAATGACCTTGTTGTATTATGTTTAAATCAATCGATCGATCAATCGATCGATCAATCAATCAATCAATCAATCAATCAATCAATCAATCAATCAATCAATCAATCAATCAATCAATCAATCAATCGTAGCATATTTCAGTAATCTCTTTCTAATTTATCAGTCGATCAAAACATAATCTCGTTAAGATTATATGCATTTCACATGCGCTTAGCTTGCATCACAGTTACCTAATTTTCGAACGACAATTAACCTTCTCATGAATTTACTTCTCAGGTGGCGTATGAACACTGTCGAACTGCGGTAGAACTGAATCTGAACGAGAAGCCGAATTCAAGAGAAGAAGCATGGCGGGTAAAACACAAGAATTTTTATTTATAGAGAGGTCTGTCAACTATTATCATAACTTTCATTTCCAACATAAAAATCACATATGTCTTTTAGTATTTACATTTATAATTTGTTATTTTTACATGTAAAGATCATTATCACAGACGTCTTGTATCATCAGTCTCTGATACAGATGAGTCGACAGTCAAGTGTACATAGTTTTTCACCCTATTATCATTCTCTGATAAAGATAGGTCGACAGTCAGATTGTACATAGTACGTCATTCGTATTATATTTATATGTTATAGTCAGATCGAGATTCAAATTGTGCGTAGTACGTCATAAGCAAAAGTCGGTTTGTACATAATATATCTCTGAAGAAAAGCATATCATTTAAAAGAAACTTTTCAAAGGTCCAAACATAAAGGTCATATTTACAATTTATTATCGCATAAACAAAATACAGGAACATTATGATTCCGTTTTGTCTGTATTCCTATCCATACGTCCTTCTTTGTGTCGGTATCTCCGTCGTAATATCATTTTTATATGCACTTCATATTTTACCATTTAAAACTGTAAAAGTGTGAAATAGAGTTTTTATTTTATTCCATTCTCTAGGGGGTCAAACTTTCAAATGTACAATGGCTTCAATGATATTTCCGAATAATTTGACATAATTTAATACGAGTAATCATATAAACGACGTGTAAGAAAGGTGTTCAAACACAAGTCACTTCGTATATTTCTAATTTCGCCAACAAAAGTCTTCTCAATATTTATTTGAATGTCCTTTATCCAACTTTTAGAACAGCGACTCATCTAAAGTCAATACTCCCGAGTTCCATGTGCATCCGAATTTAGAACAAAAGCGTACCAAGGCCGCGAAATTGCTTCCCTATGTACGTGAGGTGAGTACAGAGCTAAATCATATATATTCGTTCTGGGTTCAAATACGTTGTGGCTAAGTTTTAATGTATACAACTTGAAGGCGATGTCACATAAACTACCTACGGTCAAAACATAAACGTACGCTATTTATTACGTTCACCGGAAATTTGAAATGCAATTCCAATGAGAATGGAATCCTTTAGAGGAAGCGGGTGTTTAGCGTTTGATCAAGACTGATTATGGTTCAATATGATTTCAATGTCTGTTGCAAATCGTTCACACATTAAGTGGTTATTTGTAAAGTAATGGCTTGCACACTGTTTTCTAGCAGCAGGTCTAGAATGGTTTTGCTGTGTTCGTTCGTATAAAGATACTCCTGATCCCTTGGTATAATGATTCTCGCGGTAATTCACTTTCCAATTAAAATTTGATATCCCATATTTGGATATTCTATTATAATGTATTCGGTTCGCAATATTTACTACTATATTCTTACGTTTCCAAAGAAGGATGCAATATCCTTTGATGGCACACCGGAAATCGAAGCTGAAAACGGAAATAGTTATTAGATCAACTAATAGGATGAACGATTCAAAACACCATTTCGTATCAAGAATATAAACTCTAATGTACTTGTTTGTCTGCAGTCAAATTCGGTAATAAAGGTGTTAAATAAAAAGACTGATTGATTTGT